CCCACCTCAGCCTCCTAAAGTGCTGGGATTACAGGGGTGAGCCACCACACCTGGCCAGACCTCTTTTTAAAAAATAAATTACCTAGTCTCAAGTTTTTTTTTTTTTTTCTTTCTGTGTCGCCAGGCTGGAGTGCAGTGGTATGATCTGGGCTCACTGTAACCTCTGTCTCCCAGGTTCAAGTGATTCCCCTGCCTCAGCCTCTGAGCAGCTGGGACTACAAGCATGCACCACCACACCCAGCTAATTTTTTGTATTTTTAGTAGAGACCGAGTTTCACCATGTTGGCCAGTATGGTTTTGATCTTTTGACCTCGTGATCCACCCTCTTCGGCCTCCCAAAGTGCTGGGATTACAGGCGTGAGCCACTGTGTCCAGCCTCAAGTATTTCTTTATAGCAATGCAAGAACAGACCAATGCATATGTATACTTAGCCAGCCCATTTGGCATACGTTTCTCTTCCACTCTTCCCTCCCTTGAATTGCCTGCTTTTGGTCTCTATGGAGGCTATGCTTCCCAGCCTTTCCTTTTATAAGAAGGAAAATCTCCTGTCAGATGGAGGAAGACTGCATTGTTCTTCAGTTGACACTAGGGAGGGATCCAGTGGGGGAGGGGGAGGGTGGGAAGTAAGTCAAGGGAAGGAAGAAGGCTGCCTGTGATGACTGATGCTCATGGGTTCTGACCCGCTTATGTACATCTCTGTGTGTGTGTTCGTGGGTGTTTGTTTTCATAAGGAAATACTTGAAGGGTGGTCACTGAATGAACGGTGGCTGTTTCAGGATAATGGGATTCGAGATGACTTTTACTTATTTCTTTGTTTTCTTTTTTGAGACAGAGTCTCGCTCTGATGCCCAGGCTGGAGTGCAGTGGCAGGATCTTGGCTCACTGCAACCTCTGCATCCTGGGTCCAAGTGATTCTCCTGCCTCAGCCTCCCGAGTAGCCGAGATTACAGGTGTCCACCACCACACCCAACTAATTTTTGTATTTTTGGTAGAGACGGGGTTTCACCACGTTGGCCAGGCTGGTCTTGAACTCCCGACCTCAGGTGATCCATCGACTTTGGCCTCCCAAAGTGCTGGGATTACAGGCATGAGTCACTGCACCCGGCGTATTTACTGTCTTCCCTGTACTTTTTATAAAATCCTTTTTTTTTTGAGACAGGGGTCTCACTCTGTCACCCAGGTTGGAATGCAGTGGCCTGATCATGGCTTACTGCAACATGGCTCAAACTCCTGGGCTCAAGCGATTCTCCCACCCCAGCCTCCTGAGTAGCTGGGACTACAGGTGCGTGCCACCATGCCTTCTGTTTGTTTGTTTGTTTGTTTTTGAGGTAGAGTGTTACTCTGTGGCCCAGGGTGGAGTACAGTGATATGATTTCTGTTCACTGCAATCTTTGCCTCCCAGGCTCAAGTGATTTTCCCACCTCTGCCTCCCAAGTAGCTGGGACTACAGGCATGAGCCACCACACCCAGCCTAATCTTTTATTTTAGTAGAGACAGGGTCTCACCATGTTGCCCAGGCTGGTCTTGAACTTCCTGACCTTAAGCAGTCCTCCTGCGTTGGCCCCCCTAAAGTGTTGGGATTACAAGCATGAGCCACTGTACCAGGCCACTTTTATTTTAATTCTTTTCTATGCATATGGATCATTGATATCACCAGAGAAGTCAATTTGTCAAAGGAAAGGGAATAAGAGATCCCCAGACCTCAAGAAGGCAGGTTTCTTTGACCTGGGTCCCCCTAAGCCAGGGTCTGTCTGCACTCTTAAGAGGTCCAGAGTATGACTACATGGCTTTGGAACCTTGTGCTCAGGGACCCTGGAGCCCATCTGTCACAGGCCTGCTGGAACTCACCACCTGGGGACCGCAGACTCTGCCTGGCTGTGATCAAGAACCCCCTGGGACTGTGTGCGGTGGCTCACACCTGCAATCCCAGCACTTTGGGAGGTTGAGGTGGGGAGATCATCTAAGACCAGGAGTTTGAGACTAGCCTGGCCAACATGGTAAAACCCTGTCTCTACTAAAAATACAGAATTAACCAGGCATGGTGGCGGGTGCCTGTAATCCCAGCTATTTAGGAGGCTGAGGCAGGAGAACTGTTGAACCTGGGAGGTGGAGGTTTCAGTGAGCTGAGATTGTGCCACTGCACTCCACCCTGGGTGAAAGAGCAAGAATTCATCTCTCTCTCCATATATATATATATATAAAATAAAGAATCCCCTGGGATCTTGGACTTGATCCTGGTGCCAAGGGAATCTGGTTTCATTGGTCTAGGCGGTGCCTGGGCATCTGTATTGTGATTGTTATTTGTCAATGGTTCTGAGTTTTTCACTTTCACACAGCTTTGGGGAAGCAAAGAATCTGGGCTTGTTCAGAACAATCAGCTATTGACACCAGAGGCTGCCTCTGGTTATGACTGGACGATTATCCTTTCCTGGTGCAGATATCGGCAGCTCTCTTGTGCTTGGCCATGAACCATTTGCTATGTCCTCTATGTGGCCAAGCGTCAAAAGGATGATATTTTCATTTTTTAATTTTTGTGGATACATAGTAGGGGTATATATGTATGGGCACATGAGATGTTTTATTTATTTATTTTTTTTGAGACGGAGTTTCGCTCTTGTCCCCCAGGCTGGAGTGCAATGGCATGATCTCGGCTTGCTGCAAGCTCCTTATCCTGGGTTCAAGCAATTCTCATGCCTCAGCCTCCTGAGTAGCTGGGATTACAGGCACCCGCCACCACACCCAGCTAATTTTCATAATTGTGGTAGAGACAGAGTTTTGCCATGTTGGCCAGGTTGGTCTCAAACTCCTGACCTCAGGTGGTCCGCCCACCTCAGCCTCCTAAAGTGCTGGGATTACAGG